TCTCAGCCCACTGGCCTCTTTGAGCACCTAGTCCTGTGTGCTGAGGCTGGAGGAGGATAAAACCTGCAATCAGGATATGGACTGTAGAAACAGAAGAGAAGAGACAGAAGTAGGGCAGGGACAGTGCCAGGAAGACTCAGAAAACAAGAGGCCAGGTTTTAACACTAAATGAAAACAGCGTAGGAGGGGACTCTGTGAATTGAAGAGCTTCCCAGTCCCTGTCTCTTTCTAAGAGATCGGGGGACCATGACATCACCCACGGATGAGGACTGGAAAGGTACCAAGGTCAGATCTCATACTGAGGGTTAAGGAAAATTCAATAAGAAGCAGAAGGACATTGTTGGCAATGAAAGCAAGAAACCAGAGACACCCACAACAAGCTATAAGACATTTCTTTTAAAATAATAGCAAGACATGAAAAAACAAAGTTTAGAATTTTTGAAAATCTCAAATGAGATGACATACCCCAAATATTTATAAATAATAGGACAATTTTAAAAATCACAAAGCAATAAGAAAAAAAGGTCTGCAGTGACATGGTAAATACTGAAGACTGGCAAAGACGATTCAGCCTACAAATAAGAGTCCCTGAAGAAAAGAACAAAACAAAGGAAAGGAAAGGAGCAGATACTAGAAAACTATAATTCAAGAAGAGTTTCTTGAAACTACAAAGAAACAAAACTGAAAGCTATAAATTAAAAATATACCCTTGTGTATCTAAGCGAGTGACCCACGATGAGCACCATCAAGATCTATTTGAGTACAATTACTGGACTTCTAAGACAGTCTGTTGGGCATCTCGATCTGTGCTACAAAAGCCACTGGCCACATGGAATCCTTGAAGAGCGGCAGGTGTGGGTCGAGCTGCGCGGCATACAGGATTCTAAAGACCTAGTATGAAAATAAATAAATGGCTCCATTAATTTTTTATGTTGTTACATGTTGAAAACATTTTAGATATGTTGTGCTAAATAAAATATATTTTTAAAATTCTAACTCTTTTGGGGCACCCGGGTGGCTCAGTGGGTTAAGCCTCTGCCTTCGGCTCAGGTCATAATCTCAGGGTCCTGGGATCAAGCCCCGCATCGGGCTCTCTGCTCAGCAGAGAGCCTGCTTCTCCCTCTCTCTGCCTGCCTCTCTGCCTACTTGTGATCTCTCTCTCTCTGTGTCAAGTAAATAAAATCTTTTTTTTTTTTAAATTTACCTCTTTTTACTCTTTAATATGGCTACTGGATCATTTAAAATTGCATGTGCAAGTTGTCTCTTTGGCTTGCATTAATATATTGTTGGACAGTGTGGATTTAGGACTCTAACCTCCCTTCTGCATCAGGGTCCTCATTCTTCATCCAGAGGACCTCCCTGAATAAAAATTTCCTATGAATAGTCCTTTTGAAATTTTCTGTCAATGTGCTTGGAATCTTTACTTTTGTCTTTTTCCTTGAATTCTTTCTTCTTGCGTTTCACGGAATGGCTACTCCAGAAAAAGCCAGAGCACAGCAGCGCTTGCATCTGTGGAGGCAGAAAAAGAAAGCTCTGCCTTATTCCTGACCAGTACCCCCTTGCCATGTCCATCCTACTCAGAGTGAGCACAGCGCCCCCTGCAGGGCTGGGGCGCCATCACCGCACTCTGTAGATTGTGTCCTGAGGTATAGCTGCTGGCTTGGGCTTTCTCTGGAAAGGGCATTCTTCTCTCCTTTTTCTTCCCTCTTCAGCTTTTACCTTCTGGTTTGTTTTAGTGCTCTGCAACCAAGTTTGTCTTTATTGTCTTTGTGATTTATCTTTTGCACATAACCAGTTTAAAGATGAGCTTCTCTGGTAATAGACTCATAAACTATCTGTATTTAAACTAGCTCTCCTTTAGGGAAAAACAAGTAATCTTCATTAAAATGATTAAAATCACTGGTATGTGTAAAGAAGAGAATTTCCTGGAAAATAATTACCCAGAACATCCACCGGTCCTTTAAAAATTTGAAGTAGAAAACCCCATAATTACTTGAAGGTATTCTACAAAATCAGCCCATAAACTTTTACATCATTTATGAACGTTCTTCAGGAGAATAAATATTGCCATTCCACATTTCCTTCTCTTGACACTAATCTTGACACTATTTTTACATGTGACATCTTGTCTTCGTAAATAACATTTTTCCAGTTAGTTTGTAATTTAGCCACTTTGCATTGTCTGCCTAAATTATTACTGATTCTCAGTGAAGTCTGGTAAGATCTAGTACTTAACAAAAGCATTTATTACAGTATCTGGAATTGAGAAGTGAAATAGCTATGTGGCTCTGCACATTTTCCCTTGTTTTCTTTAAGAACACGTTAGATTTTATATCATTCTTAATTAGAGAACAGGAACTTTCCTGTCTTATAAATGGAAGCTTTTGAGGACTGGGAAGTAAGTATGTGGAGCAGGGAAGATTTGGATAGAATTATTTTTCTGGTTTCTCTGTTCTGCTTCTTATAGTGCATTCATTGAAACCAAGGCTTGAGGTATATTTGGTTACCTATAGGAGAGACACTGATACTCTCTGTCACTGTGAGCCTAGGCATATTTGGCGTCCTGAATGGGGAGAGGACCTTGTTCACCCACCACTGGCTACGTGAAAGCTTCCTTGTAATTCCCAAGAATCTGTGGCATCTCTGGCTGGTTGATTGATTGACTGATTGAACTGTTGGTGTAGCATTTCCATGATGAAATGTTATTTAGTAAAAGAAAACTCAAGTCTTTTTCTACCAAATGGGGTTTAACCACCTCAAGAGTGATGGCAATCAGAACCTCTGGTTAATGTGCCCGGATGCCTTCTAGAATGTGAAATTGCCACCTCTTTAATCACTGGGCCTGCATGGCCCCATACTCTTCAGTAGCATCTGTATATTCCAGCCCTCCCCTGTCCCTTCCCTACCCCCTACTCCTGTGTGCAGCTCCCCTGTGGGAGCTTGTCTAGAACCTTCCATGCCTGGCTACCCTGGATGTGCTCATCTGTACATGTGGTCATGGTGGAGGTGGTTCTCTGCATATGCACTTCATGTGAACATATATCACATTACCATTTTACCAAAAGTAGTTTTAAGTGCCTGAAGAAAAATACTGAGTTCGAGCTCACAAAGACTGAGGAAAAGTGTTAGTGGCAGTGCTGGGACCAGAGCACTTGTCTTTGGAGCTCTACTCTTTGGTTCTTAACAGGGCACCATGGCCACCTATGTGATCTAACTAAGGACAAAGCATAAGAAATACTACCTTTTTAATGTTTATGTTACTAACTAGTTAGTAATTTTTTTTTTTTTTTGGTCAACCTCAATTTCATTTTGGTGTGAAAATTGTGAAAACAGTTGTGTAAGAAGTTGACATTAAAGATAAAAGACAACACTAAGGGCTCTGTAAGGAAGGTGGAGAAGAGGCAGAAGAAAAATTCAGTAGCCCCTCATTTCATCTGTGTTGGGGATTTTATTTCCACTCTGAGTACATTATTTTATAGATGGGAAAAATTATACCTACAAAAGTTAAATGTTTTTTCCAAGTTCGATTTACTGGAAGTTATAACCCAGATTTCCTGACTCTACATTAAATATTGTTTCTTTTTTACAGAGGGAGAAGCAGACTCCCCACTGAGCTGGTGGCCTGATGTGTGGCTTGATCCTAGGTCCCTGGGATCATGATCTGAGCCGGAGGCGGATGCTTAACTGACTGAGCCACCCAGCTGCTGCTACATTAAATATTATTTCTGATACACTATACTGACTTCCCCTAGTTTGGAGAAAAGAGCAGTTTCATCATAGAACTTAACTGAATCTGGGGCACCTAGTGGCTCAGTTGGTTAAGCATCCAACTCTTGGTTTTGGCTCATGTTGTGATCTTAGGGTTGTGAGATCAAGGCCCCACACTGGGCTCCACGCTCAGCATGGAGTCTGCTTGAGATTCTTTCCCTCTCCTTTTCTCCCTCCTCCTCTGCTCTTCCTGCTGTGCCTGCACTTTCTCATAAATAAATAAATAAGTAAATAAAATCTAAAAAAAAAAAACCCACAAAACTTAACTGAACCCAAAGCTAATACCAAAAACTGTGGAGAAGGTCTGAGTCAGGAAAGTCTTAGAAAATATGGTGGGTCCAAATGAGAGTCTGCTTCAGAATGAATCTGTAAGTACAATGCATGACTCCTAGAAGGGTCTCTGTCCCCACCACTACTGTGTCAGCTAGCTTTGCTGTGTAGCGAACAGTTGCTTAAAGTAAAAGTCATTTATTATAAATATTTTACAGTAGCTAATTATTAGAATCACAGTGTTAGCAATATTAATACTTCTACCACTGAGCTTTCCTATTGGGTCTATGAACTCCAGTGTAATTAAATCCATATACTTCTTAAGTGATGCACTGGTTGTACATTTTAAATGCCTTTAAAAAGATAGAAATTTATTTTCTCTGACCTTTATTCCAGTTAGGAAATAGTGGTCTTTTATCACAATATAATCTGTATTAACACACCCTTTTTTTTTTTTTTTTTACTTATTAGTCAAATAAAATGTTTATTATTAAAAAAAAAAAAAAAAAGGAACAATAGTTGCATAATTACAAGTAGCATTCCTTGTGACCTTTGGATCACTATAATGCCCTAATTGTGAAAAACCTAAATTCAGGGTTGTTTTTTTTTTTAAGTATTACTGTCATTAATATTAGTTTACATCAGGTTTCCTGGGTTTACAAGTGTCTTCTTGGGATTTTAATTATGTCATTTTTAAACTAGCTGGTCCCAGTGTCACGTGTGACCGTTCATGCTGTTATTGTCAAGTTTCCTTTTGATGATGCTAGAAAATTTTGAGTTTGAGTTTCTGGATATCCTTTTCTGGCCTTTCATTATTGTCGAAAAAGTGTGTTTATCCACACCCCCTTTATGTTAGATTTCTACGGTAAATCCACCCAGCATTCATAGTCGATGTGTCCTTTCCTTGGTGGGCTGCTTTTTGTTCCTGTTAACACTGAATCTTTTATCCCTTTTGTTTGCAGTGTCTCAGTTTGAAACTGAATTCTACATCAGTGGACTTGCACCTCTCTGTGATCAACTTGTTGTTCTTTCCTATGTGAAGGAGGTGTCTGAAAAAACGGTAATTTTTTTTTATACCCCAAATGCAGAGGGAAGTGTGGGTTCATTTTTTAGCCTTATATCCAGATCAGGTTGCCCATGAAAGGGCCGTGCTGTAGTCTGAGCAGAACTTCCTGACCTATAAAAGAAGGCCGGTAGAGATTATGTATTTACCTTTCAGAATCTTCACTCATTGCCTGCCTTTTGTTCCCTTTGCCGAGCCAAGGGAAGTCTTTTTTTTTTTTCTCTTTTTTCCCATCTCTTGGTATTTTCGTCGAAAGGAATGAAGGATTTCTTTTGCTGAAGGGCAAAGAAACTAAGCTGACACTGTGCATTAGCAGAAATGACAGAAATGAAGTTGATCTGCCGCAACAAGAGGGGCCCCTGTGGTCAGAGGGAATTATGGAAAGGGCACTTCATTTCCTGTGGTCCAGACAGATTTGCTTACTTCCCAGTGGCCAACTGAGTCTCAGTTGATTTTTGCTTTGAAATGGTTATGGCGACATCTTAGTCATCAATGCAAATGAGAGTATGAAATGCATGGCCAATAGAAAGCAGCAGAGAACCCAAATTTTGTTATACGTAACTTTGGAGGAAAGCCTGTATTTGTGATCCAGTGGAGGGCATGCCCCGTGGAGACACTCTGTCTTCCTTTGAAGCCTAGGTGGGCCCCATTCCCAGCTTGTCTTCACTGTTACAATCCAGGGGTTCTGCCAGGAAGGGGGACGCTAGGGATGGCTTCAAGGCATAAACAAGGAGAGCTTATTGTAAAGGATTTTCTCTTAGGTGCTGTATATAAAAGAAATTACAAACTGATTGTCTAGCCCTTTACAGTAAGTAGGGCTCTCCTTGTCTGTATCCTCTCCTTTTTTCCCCCCTTTTCAATTGGCTAGGAATAAAATGGGGGGGACCCTGGGAGCCCCAGTTTTGAAGTGGTACCTGCTCTTGAGCATTTCTGTGAACAAGCACTTGCAGTGGGAAGTCATCGCTATAGTAACCTGAGGCTCTGGGCGCCCATGTTGCTAGGCAATGGGATGCTGGAGACTTAAGTAAATACTCAGAGCGACTAAAATCAATAGCGCTGGCTTCTAGCCCTGTTGCAGGACATCACTTTATTATTTTATTTATTTTTTTGAAGATAAAGGAAAGCAGTGGCTCCCAAGGGACTAAATATAGTGCTTTCTGATGAGGGAGGTGGGGCAGATTGAGAATGTGATTGAAAGACCTAGGAAGGCAGCAGTAAAATGAAAAAGGGAAAGCCTCATAAACAACCGAGCAAAAAAAGAAAGGAAGCAGGGAAACCTTTGTTGATAAAAGGGAGTATTACAAAGGAGTAAAGACCAAAGAAAGGCCAACCTCATAGAGCAAATTAGAAAATGAAATTGGAGAGAGAAGAAAAGGGCATTTTTTTCAGAGGGAGAAGTGTGAGAGTCTTGGAGAGGACTCATGAGTGTGTGTGCCAGTGCATGTAGCTATTTTATAGGACACCAGCGTACACCTTCGATCCTTAAACACAGAGTAAACTGATAAAATTTATGACAAAAGGAGTAAAGCAAGCGTGGGGCCGAGCCCCTCCCGTTTTTTCTCTTTTTTTCATATGGGAAAGACAGTGGAACTGCAACATTAAACAAAACTTGCCTTTACATCCTGCATATCCTCCCCCACAATGTTCTCCCTTATACCTGTCACATCATGAGTGTGTCCTCACATTGCCATCATGGTGACACTCTACTGATTTCTGTGAACCTTATTCTGCCTCTCTCTGTGCAGCTCTGTATTCCCCATCATTGTCATTTATTGTGGTTGTGAACTATTTCATCTGGATTTAGTAAGCTCTCCCCCCATCATATGTTTCTTTTTCATCCACTAATAAAGCATCTATGTATCCAGAGTCATGCTAAGCATTGGAGATCAGAGACCCAACAAGACCTCTTGGGAAGTTAATAAGCAGGGCTGCTTGACCATTGAGCAAGGGTTATAAAGTAACAAGATGAATCACATCACCGATGGTTTCCTTATGCCTCTCAGGGAGCTGTTTATGTGACCAAGCAAGGCCCTTTTCTTTTATTATTATTTGCTTCAAATATTTTTTCTCTTCTTGCTATTCTGTTATTCTTTGTCATTGTTAGAGCGGTTCATTTTTTAAATATTCAAGTCTTTACATTTTTTCTCATTGTTTCAAAATTGAGATAATTCTCATTTTTCCACAGATGTGAAAAATTATGCTGTATATTCGCTATTTTTTTTTTCCCTCTACTAGTTGATGTTTTATAGTTGCTGTTTTATTTTTGGAGGGTTTTTAAATGTATGAGACGCAAAGCTAATGCAGTTGCTTCTCAGTTAACCTAACAAAATGGACCAGAGTACTCTGTGAGGCTTACAGTGTTCCTCAGGGAACTTGGGGAGTTGGGGAGCCCCCGACTTGTCTCACGCTGTCCCCTTCATCTCGGTTTTCTGCGGTAGTGTCACACGGCTACAGGTCTTACTGCTGTGGAAAATGCTCGACTGTGTGTTTTTTGCCTGCGTGCTGAATGCTCAGAAAGCTCAAACTTTCAAAGTAAAACAAACTTGACTTCAAGATTCACTGTAAGTCCCACTTTTTCAACAAGTTGCTATCTCACCATTTACTTATGTGACTTTGACCTTAGTAGAGTTTTTGATCCCCATTTCCTTCTTCTGTGATATTCGGAGCAGTCAGTCATTTAAGACCCCATCACCTTCTAGATTAATGCATCTCATCACCTTCTAGGTTAGGGGAACTGCATCAGCCTAAAAAACTCCCTTCCCCCTTCTTTCTTTTTCTTCTTTCTTTTTTTTCAATTTTATTTATTTATTTGACAGAGAAAGAGATCACAAGTAGGCAGAGAGGCAGGCGGTGGGGGGTGGGGGGGGGTGAAGAAGACTTCCCACTGAGCAGAGAGCCGGATGCGGGGCTCGATCCCAGGACCCGGAGACCATGACCTGAGCTGAAGGCAGAGGCTTAACCCACTGAGCCACCCAGGTGCCCCCCACTTCTTTCTTGACCTACAACTGCACTGTTCAAAAGTGTGGTCACTAACCTTATGTGGCTATCTAAATTTTAATTAATGAAAATGAAATAAAATGAAAAACTTGGTTTTTTGGTTGCAGCTAGCCACCAGTGACTCCTGCCCTTGACATACACCCCTGCCCTGGGCCTGTGCTCTTGGTGATCATTGCCTTCTCAGCGTGTTCTGTTTTCGACCTAGCTCTCCATCTCTGTGGCTTTTCAGCATCACCAGTAAGCTTACCAGTAGTGGCAGTGGTTTGGCAGTTGGTAATATTATTTTTACCCTTTCTCACATTGGTGAGGAAGAGACATAAGCTGATTGTGGAAGTGTGTGGTGGCTGTGCCTGTGGAGATGAGTGACGGACGGCTGTAGGGGCACAGTAGCTTCTGTCCTGTTGACGTCACACAGAAGGTCAGGAAATAACATGGTGTGATGAGGCTGTTGGTGCAGGTGGATAGAGGGGCTCACATCTGCTGAAATTATGAAGTCCTGTGCATTTAATCATGACTGACTGGAATGAATTTGTACAGTTTCTGGAAACATATTGAAAACACACCCTTCCTTCTCTTTCCCCCCCAGGAAAGAGAATACTGTGCCAGGCCGAGACTGGATATCATCCAGCCGCTCTCTGAAACCTGTGAAGAGATCTCTTCTGATGCTCTGACCGTGAGAGGCTTTCAGGAGAACGAGTGTAGAGATTATCATTTAGGTGAGAGACCAAGGCTCTGGCTCATGCTCTTTCTTATACTTGTGGGTTTTTTCCCTTTCATGTGATTAACACAACCAGTAATTTAAATTGAGGTGCTGCAAGGGTCGTAGAGACTACCTGGGCAGACCTCTCGTGTTGAAAATGAGGGCACGAGGCCCAGACATATTGCAGAATGTGTCTGAGCTTGCACAGTAGGTGGGAGGGGTAGGCTTGGGGCCAGGACTGAGGTGAGTAGGCTCTGTGGTCTTTGTTCTTACGTCTGTTGTCGTAATTAGTGTAACACTTAACATTGACGTCGGGCAGCATGGTTCTGTGGTTGCCATATGACTCCCAACCTCATATATCTGGAAAGTGTGCTGTGGGTTGTCCGAGAAGTCATCTTTCTGTTTGTGACCAAATGCGCAGAGCCTGGAAGAGGGCCTGACAACTACTAGATGTTCGGTGAGTATTTGCAGAGTGGAGGAATGCATACACTGGTCAACTGCTCAGAAATGAAGAACGAACCACTGCTCTTTGGTCATACTGGAGCCTCTGTGCTCAAATGTCCTCCTATCCTTTAAAAATACATTGATGAAAGTAGAACCGCCTAAGATTTTTTTTTTTTTTTAAGAAATTCTTTCCTGCTTCAAAAACAATTGACATGTTTTCAGAATATTTTCCGTTCTCATTTTGGCCAAAGGAAACAAAGAAATACTCTATACAGTTGGAGCTTTCTTCTGTGTGGCCCCTAGTCAGTTGAGAAGCGTGAGAGTCTATTCCAGACTTGGCAAAAAGCAAATGTGACTCAAACTAGAAGTGTCTGAACTAGGTGTTGTGCTCAGAGAAAACTCTACTGCACCCTTAGAAACTCTTCAGAACAGGTTGTATAATTGAATTCTGCAGGAAACCCTCACGATCGGCATTCTGCACAACATGCCGAAATGATAGATTATGTCCCCAGGGCTTGGGGCATCTGTCATTTATGCTGTAGATGGCCTTGACCTTGATGAGCAGGAGACATTTATCGCCAACTGTGGGGTGTAATTGTTCTGTTAAAATAGAACAGTGCTGTAAATGGCCATAAATTAAGTTTATATACAGAAGATGAATTCTGATACACCATAGACCTGGAGAATTTTGATCACTACCTTTCAGTCAAGGTCACAATGTTAATGTGTTAAACACAGAATTATAAACTACCTTACTTTTTTGAAGTTTTTTTGTATTCCTTCCTTCTCTCCCTTCTTTTTTCTTTCAAATAATTTTACATGTAAATGTTTTTTAAAGTACTTGCACCTTCAAACAGAGCCAAACACACTTGCTCCAAAGGCAGGCAAGTTTTCTGTTCCCTCTGGAGTTGGGTTACCCAACCAAGTCTCTGAAACTACAGCCAAGGTTTCTACTGCTGAGTCGCCCACACTCTTTCTTTCTTTCCTCACCTCTAGAGTACTCTGAAGGGGAATCGCTCTTTTACATCGTGAGTCCAAGAGATGTTGTAGTGGCCAAGGAACGAGACCAAGATGACCACATCGACTGGCTCCTTGAAAAGAAGAAATATGAGGTAGTTTTGATTTTCCTTTCTTTAAAGTATTGACACATCTGTAACAGGGAGAGGACAAAAGGTTTCTGTAATAAATCTTTTGTGTAAGTGAATTAGAATGCCCCAAGCTAAAAATATGTAAGAGACTAATAACTTTCCAATGCTCTTTTCAGAAATTAGGGGGGAAAGGATTACAAGGAGGTTAACTGGCTTCACTGTTCAGTGGAGGAGGAGGAGGTGGTAGTAGAGGGAGCAGGGTGGGTTTGATTCAGCCTATGCAAGCGTTTGTTTTGTGGCTTTTCGAGGAAAATAAAATGGAGCTAGTATTTCAGAATTGTCTCCTATATTTTAGTGATACTGTTTATTTGTGCTTATTTCATATGTAAAGTCAAGCTATTAATTTACTGTTCACTGAGGATGGTTTGAACACTTTGCAGACAGAATGATGTGGTCCACTTCATTGAGTCTTGAATCAGACTGATATGAGCAGAAAACTGTCCCATTATGAGTTTCTCTTTTTCAAAAACAGAAACCTTTCTGACTTTAAAAGCTGAAAAGGCAAATATTATGTTGGTTTGGTTAGAGAGATTCTCTGGTTGGGCTTCTATGCTAATTAGCTAAAAACAAACAAAAACTAATCCACTGTATATTGCTTTTAAGTTTGTGACCACCTGAAAGGATTTGGGGGAAAAATGTTTTTCATGTATAAACTAGAGTCCAGGTATTGACACAAAAAGTTCATATTTCAGTTTATATTACTATACTGCTTCAGATCCAGTAGTTCCCTAAATAATTTTATGTGTTTTTTAATGATTTTATTTCCTGGGTAGCTCAGTCAGTTAAGTATCTGCTTTCAGCTCAGGTCATGATCCCAGGGTCTTGGGATTGAGTCCTCCATCGGACTTCCTGCTCAGCGGGAGGTCTGCTTCTCCCTCTGTTCCTGCCCCCTGCTTGTCATCTCTTGCTCTCTCTCAAATAAAAAATGAAATCTTTAAAAAATTTATATATATATGGGTAGGAAGAGAGAAAGAGAGGGACAAGCCAACTCTGCACTGAGCCCCAGTGCCGGGCTTGACCCGGAGATCACAATCTGAGCTAAAACTAAGAGTCAGATGCTTAACTGACTGAGCCACCCAGGCACCCGAATAATTTTATGTTTTGACGTTTGCGTTATAGTAATAATAATGAACGTTCCAAAATAAAAGTAAAATCAAGGATTTCCAAAATCTTAATTGCAGATATACCTAAATGTATCCATATGGTTTATTTTTTGCATTTCCTAAAGGAAAAGTGCCACTTTGTCAATGTATGTCATGCAGATTTAGAATGACAGATGAATTTTTTTTGTTGTTTGAATCTAGGAGATTTGTCGTATTTTGATTTGTGCCTGAAATGGGATTCCAATATCCTAATGTGGAAATGCATTCAAATGGAAATAAGAGACGTCTTCATTTTGGTTGACTGCTTTTGTTTGAGTATGAATGCAGTGGGGTTCATTCAACCAAAACATTAAAAATGCCCGTGCTTGAAGCAAAAGCCGCAGAAAAATGGGGCTTTATTTATGTAGTCCAGAACTTTAAAACATAATAAATAGAGTGTTTATAACCTCAATATCTTTCTTTCCCACTCTCTCTCATTTTCCCTCCCTTCTTTTCTGACTCCTTTTATCATGCTTCTATAAATACAGGAAGCTTTGATGGCAGCTGAAATCAGCCAAAAGAACATTAAAAGACATAAGATTCTAGTAAGTATGTAATTTTATTATTTGAAGCATAACTTTACCTTTCAATAAGTTATAATGAGACCAAAAGTAATTTGAAAAGAACAGATTTTTCCTATGTTTATGAGACTTTATTTCAGACTAATTCTCCAACCTGCAAGGTCAAAATATTTCAGTTTATTGAATCTGTTTCTGCTTGTAAGCAAGAGACTTGAACACCAGCTGGGAGGCAGTTTTAGGTAATTTGGAACCTGAATTTGTGAAATGCACTTTAAATACAAAGCTTTCCAGTTATGTGTGGGGAAGTTTCTTTAAATCATAGGTAAAACCACATTATCACAAAATTTATCAAGAGTAGTTTCATAAAACCAGATTGCTTCAGTGTCTCCATAATAGGAGTCATTTGTGTTATAGAGACTAATCTAGGACCTTAGATATGTTTTATTTACATTTTGGACTCTGGAAAAATTTAGTGACCAAAAGCACATTTCTTTACTAACTGTGACAGTGGATGGGCATATAGAAAACCGGAGAGAGTGTGAAGGGTCCTTAGAGATCAGTGAGTCCAAGACCCTTATTTCTAGATGAAAACTGCATTTATGGCTACTTGGGGTTGTGGCACAAATTCCTCACCTTAAACTTTCCTAAAACTCCACATAAAATGTCTAGAGAGTAAACAAGCAAAATAACTCAGGAACCCAAAAGAAGAGAGAGAACCAGATCATATCCCTGCCCCCCCCTTCAAAAGTGTGGAGATTAAACAAAGATTATCTAGAAATGGAGCAGAGGGTATTCTGCCCAATAGAATAGTATATGGGACAGTGCAGAGAAGTGAAACCACTTGGCCTGCTTGATTATGTGGGGGCAGTTGCAGAGTGTACATATGGGTAGCAAGAGCCAGATTCTGAAGGGCCGTGTGTAAGTGGGAGCGTGGCTCCATCTTGAGATCCCCTACAAACAAGACAGTTTATGCTCAGTGCCTCATCAGATCTGCTTGTTAGAAAGATTCTCCGATGGAGAAAGGGGCTAGAGAGAGGCCAGCTGAAATAAGAATCAACAGAGCAGCTTCCTTCTTGGTAGAGAAGTGGTAGGATGAGACCTACAGAGTCAGTAGGAATGGGGAGGTGAGGACAGGCGGAGGATACATTCAGCTGGACTCTGCGGGATACAGTGACTGGCTCCCCATGCACAGGAGAGTGAGAAATCTAGGCTGACGCCCAGTCTTTGGTGGTTGACGCCCAGTTTTTGGGAATGGTGGTTGTGTTGCCATCCCTAAGAAAGGGAGACTATGTGAGGGGGAACAGGCTGGGAGGAGGGAGTGTGGGAGGATTAATACTGGTTTTGACACATTGGATTTGGGCTATCTCTGGGACATCCTAGTGGAGCTCAGGGAAGAGATCTGGACCCAGATATTTGACAGCAAACAGGCGTCCGTGGAAGGCACGAGTTTGAAGCAGTCCACACGGGGTGAGTATCTAGCCTCAGAAAACAGAACTTGAAAGGAACCATTGGGAATGCCAATATTCAAAGGAGAAGTGCCCAAAATAGTTTGGAATGGCTAGAGGAAGGTTTTCGTGAGAGCTGGGAGAGCAGTCAAAGGTAAGACAAGCTCAGCCAGTCGGTGGTACACTGGGTGTGGCAATATGAAAGTGACAAGTGAATTTTCTCTGTATTACTCATTCTTAGCGTGCTGTAAGGAGTGAAAAGTGAGGAGGAGATGATGAAGTAGAGTTGCATGTTGGCTGTGAACTGGAAGGGAGTGCAGACTGTGGGGCCGGTCCATCACACAAAGGTCATTGGTGATGGTGAATATTTTGTGTGAGAGAGACACTGAACATGCTTACACTAAGGAGAAGAGAGAAAATAGGATTGAGGTTAAAGGAGGACAGAGAAAGAGGATGAGTGGCACAGTAAGCTGCTCAGTAGGGTAAGGGCCTGGCATGAGGAGAAATGGGCTCTGCAAAGGACACATTCTCTTCTCTGACCCTGGACAGAAAGATTCGGTAGTACTGGTGATATGTGGTCTGTTTGCAGAAAAATAAACTTAGGCACCCTTTTTTTTTTTTTTTTAAACTCTTTAGTTTCTACAGATTTGAAATAGGATTTCCTATATAGTCATTATTGGGGTAAAATTTAATAAAGTAGGAACTATTAGTATTTTCCCACAGCCTTGACACGGCCCCGTCCTATACATTAGTTATGCGTGGCCTTTTTTTTTTCCCTCCTAGCACAGAATAATTTCATACCATACAGGCAGAGACAGAAATGGGCCGCTGCCATTTCTGCCATCCGGGAAGAAATTCCACAACACCTTTTTTTTGTACATAAACTAGAACTTAAAATCCAAGTTTTGTTATATAATAAGTTTAAGCTTCTTAAGAAAATGCTTTTAGTCAGAAATAATATTCACAGGAGTCCTGGGGGGAGATCAAGCAAGAGCTCTCACGTCTTTGGTGACTCAGGCCACCTCAGATCCTTTCAGAACGGAGGTGGTGTAAGAAAATGAATTTTACTCAGAAGCCAGCCCAAGCTGCAATCCCATTTTCCTCATCTGTAAACTCATGGGTGTGAATCACATGTTTTTGGACATCATTTTCACATTAATGTTAACCTTAAGATTCAGTATTTCCCTTTAATATGATTGTTCTGTTGCCATGTGTTTCTTAACAGCATTTCTTCAGACGTGATATAGAGGAGACTAGTAGCTCACGTCTTACAGATGAAAGCACGAAAAACCACTTTATATCCAGTGACAGCATGAAATTGTTGAATCGTGTTTCTAATATTACAGATTTCTTCTGTAGAAAATCTCCTAATCGGGGGCAAGTTAGGAGCCTTTACCGTAGGAATGTTATTTTTGTGTGAATTCTAAAATTTGTGAAAATACAACTACAAGTGCATTTAAATCTGTTTAGGAAGGAAATGAGCATAATTACATATAGCACCCTAGGGTGTATAAAACAGGTTCTAGCCCGTAGTGCCAGTAAGACCCTGATGTCATGGGCTGCTCAGGAAATGAGGCTCAACTTTGCAGTTGTTCTGGTTAATTATGAAATTTCTTCATTTAATTTTCCCTAGGATATTGGCTTGGCGTACATAAACCACCTGGTGGAGAAAGGAGAGTATGACATAGCAGCACGGTAATACTGATATTTTCACAGTTATTTGTTACTATAAATAGAATTGCGAAATAAATTTTAACACGAAAATAAGCCATTCTTTGAAGTCAACCTTTTTTTTTGGGGGGGGGTCGTTCTTGCAGGGGTAATTTTTGAGTATTGGTGGCCATAACCACAGAGTGGATTTGTGAGTTAACCACCTACTGTCATTTTCACCAAACAAGAGAATTTAATAGAAAGATGTCAAAAGTCACGAAGAGTCGGAGAGGTTACCGTTTTTGTAAGCTAACAAGTTAGCACATGGGTCCTGGCATAAGACATGAGACTCCCGGGTCAGAGACACAGGCCTAACTCAGCAGTGGTAGTAGCTGTCATATTGGCGTTTGTGCCAGATCCCACAGCTCCAATTCCCACAGCACGACACACTGGGCCAGCCAGGTGACATCGCACAGACCATCGCTCGTATTGCAGGAAAGGAACCCTGAGCTTAGGATCTCTGACTCTTTTATAATGGACAGTGATCGTGCCTGCCTTCAGAGGAACCTGATCTATTTATTATACCAAACACTAAACAGTCCTGCCCTTTGCTCTGGAGGGAAACATCCTCTGTGTCTCTCATTTCCATTGCTGTTCTACAAGCATCCTTGAGAAGGCAATCAGTGCCACTGCTTGTAATTCAAGGAGAGTTGTCTCCCAGCAGGAGGGTGGCAGTTCAGTGGAAGTGACCAGATTTCAGGTTTCAGGTTTGCAGGGGTCTGTGGTAGACAAGAGTGTAAATGTTACGTAGTGGCCATGTGGGTTGTGTGAGTGGCTCCCCCTGGATTTTCGTGGTGCTCCCTTCTAGTACCTCAGGACAACCTGGGAACATAGGCTTCAGGCCAACCTCTCGTTTCCTGAGATTTAGGGAGACCTATTTCTTCGATGTGTAAATTGAGTTTTTATTCATATATAAGTATTTCTCCAGATTATATACTATGATAGGATTCTAAGTATCTGAAGTGTGATTTTGTAGTCCATTATTTAAAGTTCTTTAAGAAGTGGTTTAAATCGGTACTTTGGAATATGATGACATTTCTTCAAGGTGAGAAAGGTCCCAAAACCAGCAGGGCTCATCTGGATAAGTAGGAAACTCAGAACAGGATAATCATTGGGAAAGCCCCTAACCATCATCATACAGAAAGGGATTCATCTTTATTTTTAAGTATTTTGTAATTTTTATGATTTCTGTCCACCTTGTATATGCAATCAATTGGTTATCTAGTAATACCTTTATGTGTATTGGCACCTGCGATAGAAATTTGTCAAAACTCTGGGACGAGAGATTTATCTAAACCAATAGAGGAAATGTCTACTTACTCTTCTTTTTTTTTTTTTTTTTTTTTTTTTCTTCTTTCTTCCTGGGATGATTTTACTGCCAGCAAATGCCAGAAAATTCTTGGGAAAAATGCAGCACTCTGGGAATATGAAGTTTATAAATTTAAAGAAATTGGACAGCTTAAGGTAAGCACAGCTTTATTTTTAACTCTGAATTTATGTATGTAGTATATTGAGATTGAGATGGAAATAAAATTAAGACAATAGTTATCAGTTCTTCCCTGGAAAGCAAGTGTTAACTAGGAAGAAAAACCAGAATATAGATCTGTTTTATAGTTTATGTGTGTAAAATGTATACGTATGTGTTGTATCCTCTTATATCCCACCAATTCTGTGTTTAGATAACATTTTTATGGATTTTTTTAAGGAATTATTTAATGAGGGAGAGAAAGAGCAGGGGAACGGGCAGAGAGAAAGAATCTCAAGCAGACTCGAGCACAGAGCCCGATGCAGGGCTTGATTCCACAACCCCAAGATCATGACCTGAGCTGAAACCAAGAGTCAGATGCTTAACTGACTGAGCCACCAGGTGCCCCTGAAGTTTTTTGTTCTTTTTAATGAATATGGAAAACAGGTATAGTCTCATCCTGCAGGTTATAAAATGAGGCTTTTTTAAAATGCGCTGAAGAATTAATTAATGCACTTTTCAAATAATATTTTATTTGCTGAAAGGCAAATGGAAAAGTGTGATCATGTAGCAATAACAAATAATTTGATACTTCATGTTTTTACCTTTTTTTTTTTTTCTTTTTCAAGTTTCCTATTAATTTATAGTTGGTTAACATACCGTGTAATAGTAGTTCAGGTGTCAAATGTAGTGCTCCATCACTTGCATACAACACCCAGTGCTCATCACAGGTGCCCTCCTTAATACCTGTCACCTATTTTATCCATCCCCTACCCATCTCCCCTCCAGTAACCCTCAGTTTGTTTTGTATAGTTAAGAGTCTGTTTTCCAATTTGCCTTTTTCCTTCCCCCCTCATGTTCATCTGTTTTGTTCCTTAAATTGAGTGAAATCACAGGCGTTTGTCTTTCTCTGACTTACTTTGCTTAGCATAATACTTTCTAGCTCTGTCCACATCATTGCAAGTGGCACAATTTCTTTCTTTTTTATGGATGGGAAATACTCCCTTGTATATATGTATATACCTATCTTCTTGATCAATTCATTAGGGCTCTTCCCGTAATTTGGCTACTGTTGATAAGGCTGCTATAAACATCACAGTGCATGTATTTCCTTCTGAATCGGTATTTTTGTATTCTTTGGGTAAATACCTAGTCGTGCAATTGCTGGATCATAGGGTAGTTCTATTTTTAACTTCTTGAGGACCCTCCGTACTGTTTTCCACAGTGGCTGTACCAGTATGCATTTCCCACCAGCGGTGTAAGAAGGTTCCTCTTTCTCCACATTCTCACAAATACCTGTTGTTTCCTGTGGTGTTAATTTTGGCCATTCCTACTGGTGTGAGGTGGTATCTCATTGTGGTTTTGATTTATGTTTCCCTGATGATGAGTGATGTTGAGCATCTTTTCATGTCTGTTGGCCATTTGTACGTCTTCTGTAGAAAAATGTCTCTTCGTGTCTTCTGCCCATTTTTTAACTGGTTTATTTGTGTTTTGAGTGTTCAGTTTTATAAATTCTTTTTTTTATATAAATTCTTTGTATATTTTAGATACTGCCCTTTCCAAGACATGTCATTTGCAAATATCTTCTCCCATTCCAAAGGTTGCCTCTTAGTTTCGTTGATTGTTTCCTTTGAAGGAAGCAATTTACCTTTCAACTTAATGCATGACCTTCAGAGTAAACAATAAAGTATTCCTATGTTTGTTTAAAACATTTAAATTTTTTTCTTTTTTATTTAAATTTTATTATGTTAGTCACCGTATGGTACATCATTAGTTTTTGATGATGTTCCATGATGCATTATTGCATATAACAGCCAGTGCTCCATGCAATATTTATGAGCCTTTGCAGTATTTTCTTGAAATTATGAATATGTTTTTAAAAATTCCCAATTATAGGGCACCTAGATGGCTCAATCAGTTAAGCATCTGCCTTCGGCTCAGGTCATGATCTCAGGGTCCTGGGATCAAGCCCCACATCAGGCTCCCTGGGGAATCTGCTTCTCACTCTCCCTCCTCCCCACTTGTGCACGCTCTCTCTCACTCACTTTCTCAAATAAATAAGTAAATAACATCTTTAAAAAAAAAAAAAATTCTCAGTTAGGTTGCCTGCGCTATGAATAGTGCACTTGCCCCAGAGAATCTTCTCATCTTATTTGTTTGGCTGCTCCTGGAGGATCTTACCCAGTTCTGTGACCGTGTTTAGCCTGATGGTTTTATGACCCAGACCTTTTTATTCAATTCAGTATCTGTGCTGGCAGTGTGTGATGGCTCTTTTTCCTTGTAGGAACTACTGATAGTGATCACTCAAATCATTGTCAGTCCATTTCTTTCCCAATTCCGGTCTGTATCTGTGACCTCATGGCGTATCCATTCCTCCATGCTTAAGAGCTCACAGCCACTGCCCACATGAGAACATCTGACTCACGTCCTCATGATGTTTTGTCTCTGGTTCTCATCAGTCCTTCCTTGTCCATACCAGGCCTCTCCTCCCCTGGGGGCCATGGCCTCAGCTCTTGTCTCTGCTGTTGCAGGGGCCTTCTGGCAGATTGGTGAACAACCCTACCCCAGAGTTAGCTGCTTAAAAAATAAATCTGCTGGGGCGTGTGGGTGGCTCAGTGGGTTAAGCCTCTGCCTTCGGCCCAGGTCATGATCTCAGGGTCCTGGGATCGAGCCCCGCATCAGGCTCTCTGCTCAGCGGGGAGCCTGCTTTCTCCTCTCTCTCTGCCTGCCTCCCTGCCTACTTGTGATCTCTCTCTCTCTCTCTCTCTCTCTCAAATAAATAAATAAATAAATCTGCTATTCTCACTTCCCTTCTTCTCAAAGTATAAAATCCAAATAGTTTTCATTGCCCCGCCTCACTTTTCTCCCCTTCTGGGGACCGCTCTCCCGCATCTCGGGGCCACTCTGATCTCCCTGAATACACAGCGCACATCCGTGGCTCCGTGCCCTTCCTCATGCTTTTCCTTCTGCCAGGGTGCCCTGCCCTGTCTTTCTTTGCCTGATGGACTCCTGGCATTTGTCTTTTCTGCCTCAGGATACAAAATGGGCCCCTGCTCATCGCAGCACCTGGTTAACACCTTGCTTATGTAACACTTAGCAGCCAGTGTTCCGGTTGGCTGTTTAGATATCTGCATAGTGTTCCCCTGAGGCGCTGAGCCCCCTAGTTCTGCGTCCCCAGAACAAAGTGTAGCGATTGGTACATACGCCTGCCAAATCAGTCAACAGTGTTTGTGAATTCAACACTTAACATGCACCGAAACAGCTAATGAATGCAAGGTGTGTATTTTCCCTTAATTTCAAACTATGATTATGAGTTTAAAGAATGATATATTCCACTTTAAGGGAAAAAAATATGAATAGATGACCTGTAACTCCTTGACTCCTTAAGGTAGCTTTTATCTCTGTGACATTCTCCCTCCTATTTAGATTTTTTTTAATTCCTCTGGAAGAACAGAGAGAGAAAGTTTAACTTACCTGAAGCAGTTGTTTTATTCATCGTTCATACATATATACACCTCATAGATACTTTTGAGAATATAGTGTAATGGGTCATTAGAAGGTAGAGTTGATTTGAATTTTTCTTTTCATAATAATTTTCCAAAACACTCTGGTGCCTTACATTTTAAAAGTAGAGATATGCAGATGGTCTCCTACTTACAGTAGTTCAGCTTATGATTTTTCAACTTTAGAGGGTGCAAAGGCGTTACACATTCAGTAGAAACCGCACATTGAACTTGGATCTTTCCCGGGGGGAATGACACCCGGGATGATCCTCTGTTGGGACGCCGGGCTGGGTTTCGAGCCGCACACTCACACCACGGCCATTCTCTTTTTCATTTTCACTACAATATTCAGTAACCTAAGTGAGATACTCAGCACTTGACTCTAAAATAGGCCAGGTGCTAGAGGACTTTGCCCAACTGTAGACTCACATACGTGGTTGAGCGTATATAAGGTAGGCTTGGCTAAGCTGTGGAATTCAGTAGGGGGCTGTTTCAGTGCATTTCTGACTTAAAATATTTTCAATTTCTGATGGGTCTATCAGAATATAACCCTATAGTAGGTTGAGGAAGTTCTGTACTTTCATATTTTCTGCATAATTGGAGTCTGGTTTTGTTTTGCCCCTTCTGAAATGACCTCTTTTTCCTTCTTCTTCCTTAGGCTATTAGTCCATACTTGCCAAGAGGAGATCCAGTTCTGAAACCACTCATCTATGAAATGATCTTACATGAATTTTTGGAAAGTGATTATGAGGTATGGCCTTCCGACGTAGTCATATTTACTTGCTCTCGATGGGAAAATGGTAAGAAATCGAGAAAAATAATACAGTGGATCAGGCGGTTGAGAGAGAGCAGATTTGCAGGTTGTGGGGAATGGATGAAACTGAGGTGACGCGCTCATGACAGCTCATGTCTCTGTGGACAGTGAAAACCTCTCATCGATGCAGATTTTGGAGAATTCTTAAGTTTATAGTTTCCTAAAGCCACTTCGTTTGGCTCCTTGAGAAAGCTGAAGAAAAAGGACAAGTGCCGTGTGGAGATTTCGTACATAGAAGAGCAGCTGCTGTTGCTGCTTAAAGCCTGAGACTCAGATCTCAGTTTGCCTGAGGAGGACTAGGGCGGCAGGAATGGGGAGGGGGCTTGGATGGGATCTGTTTGCTTACTGATGAGGGAGAAAGGCAGTAGTTAACATCGTTCGTCTGCTGTGTACTCCCCACTCTTATGCGCATGTTGCGATTTTGTACTCCTGACAACACTCTAAGTGGTAATATCCAATTTTATAGATAGGGAAACTAAAGATAAAAGAAATTAAATAATTTGTTCACAGGTGTACATTTAAAAAATAGGCCTGCCTGGATTTGAATTTAAATTTGGTGTTCGTATGCACCCAAAATGGATTATAATTTTTTAAAGTTGGTTGATTTAAGATGAATTAATTCAGAAAATACCTGTGTGGTATCTACTATCTTGTAGGCACATGGTAGGCACCAGGCGTGCAGGTGTGAACAAAATAACACGTGTTCTGCGGTAGCTCATGGCCCGAGTCACCTGCAAGCGTGTAAACCGCTGCTTCTCAACAGGGGCTGAGTATGCCCTCCGGGGACATTGGGTAGTGTCTGGAGACATGTTTGGGTTGTCGTGCCTAGGTAATTTGTGCTCCTGACCCCAATTTAATGGATGGAGGTGAATTTTAGATCGAAAGATCTACAAGGGTCCTTTATGATAATGGTCCATACCTGGATACCTCGGATGATTGGTCAGTCATCGTCAGCCAGTTGTTCCTGGATGCGGATGATTCTGGCAGCCTGAAGCTCGTGTGGTCTGTACAGTTCCTGTGTTCTTATCATAGGAAGGGATCAGGTGCTTCAGGATGAATTAAACTTGAACAAATTACTTCCTTAATAATTGTGCATACTAATGGAAACAGCATTTTCTCATTTTCTCTTATTACTGTGTATTGTAATCCAATCTGCTCTAACAGCAGGGATCTCTTTCTTTCTAGAGTAGATGTATGTCTTCTAGAAGAGCTGTGGTAATAGTTTCTGTTGTTTGTGTTGGGTGCCAGCTGATGGAGGCTAGCGGCATGCTTCCTATTCCTTTCCTAGTCAGTTCAGTTCATCATAGCTTTATTTAGAACCTACCATGGCCTAGAACTGGGGTGAGGACTCAGTTAGACCCAAGAGAAAGTTAAAAAACACAATCTTGTCTTCAGTAGATTTATAGGCTGAGAGGAGAGATGATATTGATAAGCTTTAAGCAACTAGAACATAAGTGACAAGGGCAAAGTGATTGTTCCGTAAAAGATCTGATGAGAGGCCATTATTGGCCATAGTTATTGGAAAAGGTTTCTTCAGTGAATAAAGACTTGTAATGGACTTCTCCTATTTCTTTCCATTCTGTTCTGAGCACATAGAGTGGCTCTCATAACTATTCCGTCTTTGTACATCTTCCCAAAAGAAAGAGAATTATGAGTGTTCTGTGAAAATGATGGGGAAAGGACGAATTTTTTTGCAAAATACTGAAGCTTGGTATACTTGTCCTCTTTTTAAAGTAATGCAATTTAACCATGAGAAAGCAATACCTTTTTTTTTTTTTTTAAGATTCTGTTATAATTCTTTCACATGTTCAACTCTTTCTCTAGAAATTACTTTAGATTCTGTATCATTAAAGTTATCCTGTTGATTCATGTCTGGAAGACTGTTGACGGAAACAGAAAGGACTATGCATGACTTAAGCTCAGTGCTTATCAATGTTTTTTCCTGAATGTTCCAGTGTGTCTGTCTGGTCAGTACTGTTAAGAAAGGTATAAGTAATTTGTTGCCATAAGCTCTTACAAATCGTTTAGCTTCCATCCTTCTTAGTTTCATGTTTAATTTTGAATTAAATTGTCACATAATTGACTGGAGAGCAGTGTTCTGTAGCGATACTTTTGATCACATATCATGTGTCCTACTAAACAGCGCTAGAAAAACAGCTGTACTTCTGTAGAATATTGCCTTCTCAGTTTTCTTTTCTTCCTAAAAAGATATGAAGTGACAGTATTTACTTGGAGGTAATGATGCTTCCTGACTTGTTGGTGTGGGCTTCTACTAAAATGCATACAGTTTTGTCTTTTTATTTACAACCTAGCAGAATTATTTTATAAGTACTGTGCGCCAACTTATCATGGCCCCGGAAACTTTGTTTCATATTATTAATGACAGATACATAAACATATTAAAAGTGGGCCAATTGCCATGGCATTTCATTCAGTGAATACCTTTAACCTTGTACTTAACTATGATGGGTGCTGAGATGTTCAGCTGCTCTATCATAACAGCTCCCTGATAAACCACATCCTCTGAAGAATAATCAAGGCCACGGGGCTGATTGCATCAGTATTCCTTAGCACATTAATTCAAGGGCATATGGAGCCAGTTTAGTGGAGAAAAACCTGATGTGAAATGTGGTGTTTATGTCGGTTGACGTTGGAGGCATCATGTTTTTGTCACACAATATGACCAGTTGTTTTGTCTTTTTTTTTTTTTTTAAGATTTTTTTTTCATTTATTTGACAGAGACACAGTGAGCGAGGGAACAGAAGCAGAGGGAGTGGGGAGAGGGAGAAGTAGGCTTCCCACCAAGCAGGGAGCCCAATGTGGGGCTCTATCCCAGGACCCTGGGATCATGACCTGAGCCAAAGGCAGACGCCTGATGACCAGGCCACACAGGTGCCCCATTTTGTCTTATTTCGTATTAGGAGTCGGCCGTACTGCCAGGCTGTCGCATGAATTAGGGAAAACGGAAATCGGAGCCAAGCCTCCTTCTTCCCATATAGTATGATTCCTGGTCTCAGGGCCACTGAGAGCTGCCAGTGTTTGGATGGGAATCTTTTCAGACATTTTTATCTTATACATTACTGAGTCTTAAAATAGAAACCCAATCCAAAGTGTCGTTTTGGCTCAAAGAACATTTTAATGTTCTGATTCAGTGGTTTTATAAAATACATCATCTTTACCTGGAGACGCCCCTCCCCACATTTCTCACATGAAACTGCAATCGTGCACTTATGTGGGAAGGTTGCAGTTTGAATGGGAAATGTGTGGCCTGTTGTTCTGGTCTCTTGCCATCCTTCCCAGGGCTGCTTGGGTAGGACTTTAATAGAGACTGTATCCTGATTCTTTGTGATTTTCTTTTTACCAAACCTTGGTACTTTACAGAAGCACATTCCACCGTACCAGTTTCATTTCTAAGTGTCACTTAACTAAATTCATAGTAGTTTATTAAAGCATTAGTTGAGATGCTTAATATGAATAATATAATTTTTTTTTTCGATAACATGAAGATTTTTACTTCTTTCTGCTGTCTTGATTACATCTAAGGTTTTTCCTCTACCAGCTGCCAAGGATCAGTAAGTAAACTGCTCTGCCATACTCTGAGTTACAAAACACGAACTCTAATGTCAGGAATCAGGACGCTGGCCAAAAATCAACGGTAGGAAAGAAACAGGATCCAATTGCAGGATCTAGAGTTTTCTATCAGAATGGCAAAATTTGAGATCCAGCTAGGGGATAAGACTTGAGCCAAAGTCTCACATCCTCCAAACAAAACTAGGTTCAGAGGCAAGAATGGAAAGAGGACCAACAAGAAGAAAGATGACCAAGGTGGTAACTGGTTGAATGTGGGGTTTCCAGTGACTCCAGTGACTGTGGAAACCAGCCTTGTGTAGAGTTTTGCACATGGGAGGACAGACGCGAAGGCACAGAAGTTCGGGGGAAGGGGGGAGCGACCAACTTGGACAGTATCTTCAGCATATTCGGGGTATCATCTGAATGTTATAGTTAGTCCGCACTGAGGTTACAGCAAGTCAAAGCCAAAGTCTGTGTGTGCAGTGTTGTTTTATGGAAGAACTAGGGGGGCCTTGCTTACAGGTGCGTTTCATCAAATAGGTAAGAGCACCACCCACTTCCGGGAACGGTAACTGGAGAGTTGTGTGCAGTACTTCTTGGCCTTTCTTGCCACCCACAAACCCAGAGTCTGAAAATCTGTGATAGGTTCATGCCAGAGTTTTAAGCATAAAATTATTTTGTCTGTTTACATGAATATTTTTATGCATTGTTTAAACTATTTGGATCATTTAATCTATTTCAGGAATGTTCTCTTGTTCTCTTTAGGGTTTTGCCATTCTGATCCGAGAATGGCCTGGAGATCTGTACAACAACTCAGTAATCGTCCAAGCGGTTCGGGATCACCTGAAGAAAGATAGTCAGAATAGGACCTTACTCAAAACCCTGGCAGAACTGTGAGTAGAATTTAGTGCTGCTTTTTTCTAATTCAACCTACGTGGAGAGTTTTTCAGGGGAGTTTTTCAGGAGGACACAGAAGAGGGAGGCTTGTATACCATTTTCCTATATTCACCCTTAGTAACGTCCTCTCGTAAACTCCAGTGAACAACTAGCAGGTGAGGAAAATGTGCAAGACTAAAGTTGTGGTGCAGTGTGGCTCCCACAGGAGAGGAACCCTAGTCAGCAGCACTGCGTAGGGCAGGGAGGGAAGAGTGCTGGGGCTCAGAGTACACAAGGAAATCGGCTTCCCAGGGAGGCTCTGGATTCTGTCATTCTTGGATCCACATGTCACATAATGTCTCAAACCTGATCCTTCTCGAGGTGTATACATTCCTTATGGGATGATTTCAAGGCTTAAAGGAGAGGTCATAATTGAAAACTAATTGAGCGCTATGCCTGGCACTAAGTCGGAGCTCAGAAAATGAAGCTTAGTTAATATTTTTCATATTTATTGGGCACTTTTGGTGACCCAGGCTTTCTCCTGTAGGCCTGGGATTCAGGGATAGATAAGATACACTCATGTCCTGGAAGAGCTTTGGTCTAGTAAAAAGAGAAGCACACCGCAGGTAAGCTTGGGAAGGTGGTTCCTGCTTCAGCCCCTCCTTGGCATTCCCATCACCTCACACCACCTATCCCCCATCTTCTTACAGCTTTTGCCAAGACCAAGAAAGGTGCACCAAAGTGGCCTAGAGTTCAGGGCTGTTTGTCCCCCTCGGAGTTGAAATACTGACCGTTTTCTTCTGGAAACCTAGATATTCCTTGGGCTCTGTAGTACTGATAATTATTCGTACTACTAATGGGGTCACAAAACAATTTGGTTTTCAGGAGCTGGCTTGGGAATTAATGTGAAAAACAGTGCTTCAGTGGAAAAACATGTCAGTTTTATAAACTCCCCTCACAAATAAGCTTTGGAGATATAATCTGTTTGGCAGCTGAACACTGCTTGTAAAAATTTTAACTGCATTTTTTTATTACTGGAATAAGAATTTCCTTTTTTCTGGATCATAGTTTCTTTGTCAGGTATATGGGGTTCTATGAAGAAGTTTTGAGAATGTCTATAAAAGAACATTTTTATTACTTGAACATTGTCAATTTTTGGAAATTTAGGGGAGATGAGAAGCAAGGCTCTGAGAAAGAAGTACATACTGTTCACATACAGTTAAGTCTCAAGGAATAGTCTTCCAAATAAAGTTGACTTGTCTATTTAAAGAAAGTTTTCAGTTTTTCATATTGCAAAACATGAAGTGTATGTGTATTTGTGTGTTTTATTAGAAGTGTTGATGAACTTTAATATAAAAAATTTTGTATTACCAGGTACACCTATGACAAAAACTATGGCAATGCTCTGGAAATATACCTAACATTAAGACACAAGGATGTTTTCCAGTTGATCCACAAGCATAATCTTTTCAGTTCTATCAAGGATAAAATTGTTTTATTAATGGACTTTGATTCTGAGGTAATGTGTTTCTTATTTTAATACCCTTTATTTTTACTGTTCCAAATCTTTAATATTTAGACATCTATTCAGATGCTGGAGAAGTTAGTACATCACAGAGTTTGGTTGTATGCTGATCATGTTCAGAACACTGACCCGTACTAGATGTTCTGAATCCTTTACTTGATGTGGTTATTTTATAAAAGCAATCATAATTTGATACGGAACTTTGAAAGTGTGTGTGTGTGTGTGTGTGTGTGTGTGTGAGTGTGTGTATGTGAAGTAATTTTTTAGTAAAAGAATTCACATAATTCATAGGAACAAAGAAACTAGCCATACACTTTGGCTCATTCGCCTCTGTTAATTGTATGTCTCAGGATTAAAATTTTAGGGAAATTTCTATTTTGATCCATTTATTGTGAGTTTATACGTCGGCATTCACAAATTTAGCACGTGGCATTTCCACTGGTCTCAGCCATGTGGGATGTGTTATTTTATTTACAACAAATTTGAACAGTGGATTGCTTGACTAATGAGGGCACCCAGCTTCCACAGCTCACAGTGGCTCATAGATGTGCGTGTGCGTGCGCGCGTGTGTGTGTATGCGTGCACTTTTAACAAGTGACAGTGATGGAAATAAAGTTTTATGAACTTAGTTTATATGAACCTAATACTTCTCATTCAGAAAATTGAAAGACTAGTTAAAGAGTAGAACTTGAAAGCCTCCAAAAGGATTGCTTGGATTTTCCTATTATATTTTATTACATTTAAAGGTATTCTGCACTATATTATATGTATACGTATATGTGCATACTATATCTGTATTATGTGCTTTAGATTAGTCATCACACACTTAAACTTAATTTAAATAGGAGCTAAATCTACTTCTTTCTTTCTGAAAGATGCTTTTAGCCCTTTTTTCATAGTGAATGATTTAAGTCCTTAGGGACTACTGATCTAAAAAGAATTAGTGCAGTTCTGAAGAAGTTCAGGTGCAGAGGTTCTGCTTCTCTGCAAAAGATGATTAAGAGGATGGAGTGCTTCTACAAAAATTAATTACTTTTCCCTACATCCATTTTCCCCTTATGCCTACCCGCTCTCCGTGCCATGTGTCTCAAGAGCTGAGTTTAGCTTACGTAGCTGTAGAAAAAAATGAACGAGCTGAAACTGATTGCTGTTCAAGAGTATGAACCAAAGTTAGGGACTTGTAGTTTTCTAATTAGAAGATACCCTAAGGATAATCTCTTCTAACATCTTCCTATTTTAGAGGGAAAAAAAAATGGAGTGGCTAAGTAGGTGGTAGCAGAGTCAGGAGCAGAACCCAGGTGTGAGGAAAACATTCAGCCTGGTGGGCTTCTTCCTACCACCTGTCGTTAGAGACACCATCTCCTTTGTGTTTCATGAATGTTCATGATAAGTAAAGTAAATGCCACAAGTCCGTAAGCTTTATATCATCGTAAAACGTCAGCTCTCTTGGTTTTTTTCTGGTTCTCACCCTGTCCTCCTACGTCTGGGAAATCTGTAGAAGGATTCATTGAGGGTGCAGGTGGCAGGAAGCCAAGCTCATTTTTGTGTTCAGGGGACCAACACGCTCCCCGTGACCAGTAAGAGTCCCAGGAGTGCTGTGGTGATCTATCCAACAACATGGAGGCTACAATATGTGTAGACAAGGTGTCTTGTGTTTGGGGAGTGGTAGCAGGATGCTGTTTTAGTGGTAGGCAAAGCATGGAGTTCTCAGACCAAGACCCATGTTAAAATGCATTCTTTTACAGACCTCTCCCTTAAGGGCTACTGCAAAGTGACAGGCCCCTTGTTTGTAGAAAGAAGCCATCCACCTGTAACTGTGACAGCACATACAACGTGGCTGTGGGTTCTCTTCTGACACAGCAGGTGTCAGTGACTGTGGCTTTTTTTTCTTTTTATTTCAGAAAGCTGTCGACATGCTTTTGGACAACGAAGACAAAATTTCAGTGAGTGTCTTTTGCTTTTATGTGTTACTAGACGGGTGTCTGGGAACACCCAAGCCATAAAGGGGAGAGCTGTTGGTCCGATAATCTTGCAGCCATGCTTGTGTCCTCATAAATCAATGGTTAAAAATGTCTTTTCTCTCTAGATTAAAAAGGTAGTGGAAGAACTGGAAGACAGACCAGAGTTGCAGCACGTGGTGAGTGTGACCATCTTCCTTTGCCCTTTTGACTGCATCAGGAGCGAGCCGCCTTTCAGGACTGGTGTGGGGTACTGGGTGAGCTCGCTCAGGTCACTCCTTGGCGTGGAAGTTTGACCACAAACAGTAATCTGTAATCAGTCAAATGCGGCAGAGTCTCTCACCCTGGCTAGGGACTACTTACAGACCAAGTACTTTAACTTGGACTCACCATTGAACTGTGGTTTAAGAAAAGAGTTGTCACATTCACGTTTGTGGCCCCAAACCGTGTCTAGGAGTAAGCACCTTGCTTGTGTATTCCGCACTGAATACAACTGCACCATGAATTACAACCCCTCAGAAGGATCCAGGAGCAGAGCCTCCTTCTTCTGTCCTCCCCCTCCCGCTAGCGAATCCCACTCTGTCATTTGGTCTCGGTGGTAGTACTGTTCAGGCCTACTGCTCCAGACTGCCTTGGAAGGCTGCTTCGATTCCCTGTGTTGCTGTCACCGTGGGAGTAAAGCAGGAGCACATGGTTTCTATGTCCTATAAGAAGAGGCTGCAGGGGAAAATAGGTGGGTCCAGTAGGACTGTGGGCCTCAAATTCAGTGGGGGCTCTTATATGTTTGCCCACCTCTCTGCACCCCAAGAGGACAATCAGGGGGTAGAGTTTTCCTTCAGAAGTCAATTTTATGCCAGAAGCTTCTGAAGACCCCAGGATAGGAATGGAAGGTACTTTGTTCTGCTTCGTTTTGGTCAGCGGTTGTACGGATGCTACGGTTGTGCGGATGCTACGGCTGTGCCTCGTGATTGCGCGTCTCAAGATGATGAGCTTAGCCAAGCGGGGCGCCACTCTGCTGGTCCCCTCGGGACTTGTTGCTGAAGCGGTGACTTCAGCCTGTGGCAGGCGTGAGCAGGATCATGGCAGCTGGCGTCTGTGCGCCGCTGTCACCTGTGCAGTGCTGAAACTGAGAGCCCCCACTCAGACGGGTCATCTTCCCTGTCGGGCAACAGAATGTCTCTGAAACTTGGCCTTGGCAGTTGGGACAGAGCCTCCCAAGCCCGTGCGCCCGTCTAGGAAACGGCACTACGTGTCCGGCTCACATGCTGACCCCAGTCCGAGCACCATGGACGGCTGACCCCTCCGTCCCCTCTTGGCACTGGGGAGACATGACCAGTTGACCAAAGGAGCCTTTTCTTTGTGTGCATGTGGCATGGTTAGACTTGTTTAGTGACCGTGCACGACAGTGGCTGGCAGACGTCAGCTATCCTACATACAGTCCCGGCATCAGGGACAGACTGCTGTTCGGTTCCTCACTCAAGGTGTGAATGTACTTTGATTGCTGCAGTCCGGGCTTTCCGTCTCTCATGGGTGATGGGTGTTTATTTATAGTTAGCAGTAACTACCCTTTGGACATCGATTTCTAACTTGCGTCATATATTGATAGACTTAATCTTGCCTCTGAGTAGAAAGCAAATTACTCACTTTCTTTGAGGTCCATTAACTTTTTCAGACAGCTAGGGAAAGGAATCAGTTTTGAAAATGGGTTCAGAAGATCTGTATTTATCTTGATTTTTACCTTTGATGTCACCAGGAGAGGCAGCATTTCATAGCACAGATCTCTACAAGACTTAACAAAGAGCAGGGGCGCCTGGGGGGCTCAATTGGTTGGGCAACTGCCTTTGACTCAGGTCGTGATCCTGGAGTCCCAGGATCAAGTCCCACGTCAGGCTCCCAGCTCAGCAGGGAGGCCGCTTCTCCCTCTGACCCTCTCTCCTCTCACGCTCTCTCTCTCGCTCACGCTCTCTCTTGCTCTCGCTCTCACTCTCTCTCAAATAAATAAAATTAAAAAAAAAAAGACTTAACAGAGAGCAGATGTAGAATGTATGAAAAATAATTTAGCACTTGCTGCTTGATTTTTTTAAGAACATTCTTTTATCTCATAACTATATCCCTTTTATATAAAAAAATGAGAATTTTTAGGATTCAGGAAGGCCACTAATCAAGCATTTTATTTCTGAAGCCACGCAAACGATGGTGAGGATATTAGCTCTCATTAACATTTCCCTGGAGCTCAGTGTATGCCACGTGCAGCAGCGCGAATCTGAGTGTTTTACGGATGGTAATACATTCAGTACTCACAATGACCCAGTGAGATTTTTGGCAGATAAAGAAACTCAGTCACAAAGAGGTTGGTGACTTGTTCTTGTCGTATGGCTGGTCAGTAGCGGAGCCAGGTCACTCAGGGCCATTCCAGAGAGAGTGTGAGATCGCCCTTGTCTCCTGAAGGTCGTCTTTCCGCTTTTCCTTCACTGAGACACTGTCCTGAAAACCGCTTCTCCCCCAGGCTCTCCATGGAGACTGTTTAGAACTGAGTGGAGCAACCTTCAACAGGTCTTGCTTTTCTTATTTTTATAATTATGGTTTACTTCTTTGTTCTTTTTAGTATCTGCATAAGCTTTTCAAGAGAGACCATCATAAGGGACAGCGCTACCATGAAAAACAGATCAGCCTTTATGCTGAATATGATCGTCCGAACTTACTTCCCTTTCTCCGAGATAGTACCCATTGCCCACTGGAAAAGGTAAGTCACAGACTTGCCCCACACACTTCAGGCGAAGAAGTTGTCCTTTTTGGTAAGCTGTGGGTCGTTCTCCTCTTCCTGCCGCTCAGGGCGTGACTGCTGCTCTCAAAGCAAAGCAGGAGGTTTTGCTGGGCCTTCTGACGAGGACTGGAGGTGCTTTCAGCTGAGATTTTGTTGAACTAGACCATTTCTGTGCCAGGTTTAATTAGAATAAAGGTTTAATTCGGGGTGTAGGACTCAATCAACCACCAAGCAAAAACAGTGTCAGGAGTCTGAGTCAGTTTACCTGAGCCAGAGTGGGGCCAAAGATCAACCTGGGAGGGACACCCAGGCTAGCCCATGCCAGAGGCGGTGGCCCCAGACTCAAGGTTAGTAACTTAAGTGCTGTCCCCTGTCTGCTCTCCACATCCACATTGTGTATTTCTGTATTTCTCTATCACATTACGTTCCATTTCTCTATTATACTGCATTCCATTATAACTGTAAGAAATTACTAATCTCTTTCCCATTATCTTATATATTCTTAAAAGACAGGTGGTTTGTCTCACTCATTTTGGTAAGCCCAGCAGCCGGCACTCATTAGACACCTGCTAAATGTTTGTTGCATCGTGAGTGAGGGAGTGAATGAATAAATGAATAAATGAATACATAGACGAGATTGTAGTCAGGGCTGCATATGAACTAGTAAGTATATACGTATATACTAGAAACTGGGCAATCTACGGCCCCCAGTGTTATTTCCTGTGGTTCTTCATATGGTTTGGAATGCCATCTGACAGCTACAGGTATCTTACTAAATAAAGATAGCCAGAGAGCAAGCACTTTGTAGTCAGCTCTGTGTATCCACAGAACAACAAAAAAAAAGTGTTTGACCCCTTAGAGATATGTATTACGAAGTTGACCGCACCTGGGTCCTGCTGGTCCTCTGACTCTTGGTCTCGGCTCCGACATGATCTCAGGGTCCAGGTGGGCTTCTGTGACTCAGGGTCGAGTCTACTTTGGATTCTTTCTCCCCCTCCCTCCCTCTTGGCCCCTCCCCACTCACACACTCTCTTCAAAATAAATAAACAAAATCTTAAAAAAAACAAAAAGCAGTTGACAGAGAACATGCTGTTTCTGCGCACTGACAGCTTTCATAGTTGCTTCTTTAGCCATTTGATGCAGGTATTAGATATGTTACGAACCAATTTCAGCTCAGTGGATTTTCGAAATCTGAAGTTAATGAAAAAATATCTTGCCTGCATATTAATTTATGAAAAACTAACATTTTAAATTTGGGTCTTAAGACATTTTCTCAAGGCTAAATTTGGAAATTCATCATCTTCCTCTAAAAATAAAAGCAAAGGTTTCCGTCTTCTCATTACAGAATCTGTAACCTAGGGGGGAAAAGTGAGAATCTTATTCTTTGAATGGTACCCCTTCATTTATATCTCACTCTTCGATGAAACCATTCATTTCCAGGAGCACGGGGCGTCTTTTGTTGACCCCTCAGACAGAGCTGCACACCTATGACCAGCAGCCACCCTGGGCTCCTTCCCTTTCGCGAAACTCGGGTGCACAGGCACCACCCAGATTCTAGTATGTTTGTGCTTCTCCCACACTTTCAACCCATCTTGTTTACAGTTTTCCAGTCTAGTATGTTCAGCAGAAGACACACTGTTCTTACTAAAAGAGGAGCATCAGAAAACCACACAGCTACACGTGGCATGTCTAGTACATAGAACTTGCTTAGCATGTCATGTAAACCTTCCAGAATTCTTCTCTGTGATCCACTGAGAAGAACCAGTTGCATGTAAAAGAATTCAACAGAAGCATAGTGAAACCAAGTATTTTTTTAAGATTTATTTACTTATTTGACAGAGAGAGAGCACAACAGGAGGGGGCGGCAGAGGAAGGAAAAGCAGGCTCCCTGCTGAGCAGAGAGCCCAGTGAGGGACTCGATCCCAGGACTCTGGGTTCATAACTGGAGCCAAAGGCAGACGTTTAACCGACTGAGCCACCCAGGCATCCTAAAACCCATTATGTTTTAAATAGATTTTTGGTTTTTTTAGGTTATCTTTTGTTTTTTACTGAGAGAGAATTTTGAAACTAATGAATTAGAGCTGATAATGGTAGAAACATGCCATTAAAAATAATCAAGTCAGTAATCTACCTTTTTAGAACTTTGTAGATGAGCTGTCATGTTACAGATCATTGCGATTTCTTCATAAGAGGTTCTCGTTAGGATCCAGTGTGTATATCCATGTGTATGTTTGCAAAAAAATGTATTCTTATCCTTGCTCAGGTATGTAAAACCATGCTAAATACTTATACTTATACCCTGAAAAAGCTAGCAATTCATAAAAAGCAAAGTAGATGTGCCAGGCATGCCAGGCACATCTTCACAGTTAGTGAAGTGAAGGTCATGAGTTACAGGTTCACCTATTTTGTCTAGAGAGAGACTGAGAAAATTTGGTACTAACTATAAAGTTAAGAGCTTAAAATTTTAATGCCCACCAAAGAAATCTCTGTTTCAGAAGAGTATATAGATGTTTAGTCCTATAGATGCTTTGGGGATAATTTGGTGTTCGTTTTCTTTTAAATGGGAAGTGTTTAAGGTTTCACAGCTTTACTCAGAGCATGTTGGCCCCCTCCCCCTCCCCCCTTATTGATGATTCACTTCTGGCAGAATAGCAGCTCTGTCTGTCTGTCTTTCTCTCGTTGTCTGCCTTGGTGAGTTTTGGATAATTGTTGAGAAGAGGGGTGATTTCAAATGACAGCTGGCTGAAATCTTCAGGGTTTCCAGTCAAACTTAGTTTGAATTGACTGAAATCCCACAATCAATATTTGGTCAAAAACTTTGTGGAGACCCTGCCATCCTATCAGAAGCCCCTTAAGAAAGCAGTATTCCCAAGGTTGGCAGTATTTATCAGACTGGAGTTCAGGACTGAAAATCACCACAATGCATAAATCCCAAAATTAGTCATAAGCTTTTATGAAATTGTTCCTTCTAAAGGAGATACAGAGGTAGTAGGAATGTATCTCTGACAGCCATTTAAAAAGACAATAAAAATCATTTATGGAGTTTCCACCGTGCTTTATAACATGGGCTGTGCTTTCATGAACCTTATTTTTATTTAATCTCTACAGTAGGACAGGTAGGTGGATGAAGTCATTTTATCCACAAAAAGCTAAGTCTTCAGGAGTTGAAAGAAGCAACCCAGAGTGTAGCACTAATAAGGCAGAGGACCAAGACTTAGAACCTGGATCTCTTAAGTCAGGTCCCCTATTCTTTCCACTAAGGTAAGGAATCATTTCTCAGGTTTAAGATGCTAATTAAAGGGCGCCTGGGTGACTCAGTGGGTTAAGCATCTGACTCTTGGTTTCAGCTTGGGTCATGACCTAAGAGTCTGGGATCCTGCCCATGGGGCTGCTGCTTGAAATTCTTGCTCTCTGCCCTTTCCCCAACTTGTGTACTCTCGCTCTCCTCTCTTCCTTTCTGTCTCTCTAAAATAAATAAGTCTTGGGATGCCTGGGTGGTTCAGCCATTAAGCAGCTGCTCTCAGTTCAGGTCATGATCCTAAGGTCCTAGGATCAAGCCCTGCATCGGGCTTCTTGCTCAGTGGGGAGCCTACTGCTCCCTTTCCCTCTGCTTGCCCCGCCCCCTCCTTGTGCTCTCTCTCTCTCTCTCCCTCTTATTAAAAAAAATAATGATAAATAAAAAACAAAACTAAATAAATCTTTAAAAAATATTCCTTAGTATTGCAAGAATCATGAAAGGCATTTGTTTTTAAGCTATTAAACTGTCCTTTGTTCTATTATTTCCAGGCATGATCATCAGGTGCTAGTTTTCATTTACAAATCTCATTTGCTTATGCCTAGAATAGTTAAAAGCAGAATATCGGCTCTGCAGATTTGGGAATTTGTACCTGAATTTATGATTTCTCTCCTCTATTTTATGGCATTTATAAGGTGGCAGTAGTTACGAATTTGCAGGAATAAAGCTAGAAAATGCAACGTTTACAGATTTCCATTAATGCCATGTAAGAAGGCTGGATAAACGATGGCAGGGTCAAGGGGTAGAAGAAATCCTATTTAATTTATAGTTCTTGCTAGTTACCCCCAAATCTCTTCCTTGCTTTTATACTAAATCAGGAAAAGGAAAATTACACATAGCTTTTGCATGATTTTTTACTCAATTTCTGTCATTATTCTGTCTTTTCACTTTATTTTTACTGTGATTCTCCCTTTCCATGTGTGTGTCTGTTTCTGTTTCATTCCTCTGGACTTTAAAAATCTTAGTTTTGCTACTCTTTCCTCTAGAGGGAGCACGTGTCCCCAGAACACAAGAATCTAGGGAAAGGCGGTTTTATACTTCACTTGTGTCAAGAACAAAACATTCTATGTATCAGAAGTATTTTTTTTTTTACATTTTACTCAAAACATCCAGAGATTTTTGGACTCTCTGCTTTCTCATATATGAGAAAATAATAATTTCAGTACTGTTAGAAATTAGACATAAAACATTTAAAATGTGAAACTCAAATTTCAGAGACTCAGATTATCTTTGAGCCTGGCGTTACACATCTGCTTGCATTTCAGACCCTTCTTGACTTCAGACTTTTCTTTAGACATTTCTTCTCAGAGGACTTGTCATTTTTGATGAAATCCTAACAGCTTCCAGCAGCACCATCCTATAAAATGTTCTGCAGTGAGGAAAATGTACTGCTCTGACAAGATAGCCAGCAGCCACATGTGGCAATTAAGTAGTTGAAGTGTCTAGTGGGGAACTGCATTTTTAATTTAAATTTAAATGACCCCATGTAACGAATGGCTCCTGTCTTAGTACAGGTGAGCCTGCAGACTACAATGTCTGTGTGCTTGGAGGGAAGCATGTTCACAGATCTTCAAGAGAAGGGGGGATGGTTTTGTTGGAAGCTTATGAATGGTACTTTAAAATGTCAGTAAATTTCCAAGTACAAATATAGATACCTTTTAGTAAAAACTAATTTAGGCAATATACTCAATCTTTATTCACACTCTCTCTAAACTCTCTATGTATCTACTCATATTACATTTTCTTGTTTATCTGTGCGTGACATGGGCCCACTCGGCCACAAACTGTCCATCTGTATCTCTTATATTTCGCATGAATCATGGCCCTCCGTTGGTTTCTTAGTAACTTTTTGTTAGAATGGTCTCAGGTCCTCCGAACTTCATATTTTTTGTTGTTTCCTTTCACTGTCTATTTCTCACATGGGTATCCTGTCTCTGCTCTGGTATCATTCCAGAAGGGTAAGAAGTGGGTAAGAAAATTCCATTGTTTATGATCATGATTGATTGATAGGCATAACAGTATAGAGATAAGGTAAATCGTGTTTTTAATCAAAATGAATCAAGTGTCAGGATTAGGTTCAGCTGTGGGTGAGAGAAATGCCAAAATAATAGTGTCTTCAACAGAGTAGCAGTTTAGTTCTCTGGCCCATGGAAGTGCGGGTGGCAAGCCATGCGGTTGGAGACTCAGGCTCTTTTCTCTCCTTCGCTCACCTTGTATGACCTTCAGCTTGTAGTGTAAGATAAGATTGTTCATGTTTCCAGGAGCAGATAGGGTGAAAGAACGAAAAATAAGAAAACAAAGGGATGACTGGCCTTGCTTCTTAAAGAATATCGCCAGAAGCTACCATGTTGCCTTTTCCTTCCTGGGGCGATATCCATCACATGGCTCTCCCGTGGCTGGGAAGGCTTGGAGATCGTTCTTTAAATTCTGGGCAGTCACACACCCACCTAAAATCTTACTACTCTAGAAATGGGTAAGGGATATTGGGGGATAATTTGGCTGTTTCTGCCACATAACTATTAAAGGAGCCTTGTGAATAATCAAATTAATATTTTCCTCTTCATTGTGACCTTTCTGCCTTCTCACTTCCTCATTTAAATGATTTGTGTTCCTCAAACTCCACCCTAATTTCACTGTAATTCTAAAGGTGTTCTCTCCTTTTTTTTTTAATGTGTGGTTCAGAACCCACCCCCACCCCCAACATTGATTTCTGTGTTCAGCATTTTTTCCTCCCTCTTGGCTATGACTCTCCAACCAGAGACACACACTTAAA